ACAAAGAACCAAACTAACAAGGCAGTGCAAACAGAGGAGTCACAATATATGATCAAACCCTTTCGCAGGCTCTTTCTCTACCGTATGTCTAGCTGTAGAAATAACGAACACAGATCCACTGCAGCACATACAGGCACTTTTCCACATTACATTAACAAAGCCCATTGTGTGTGTGATTAAGTAACCAGTTACCGTGGGGAAACACACATGGAGTCAGACTTATAATAAAACCGTCCGTAACTTTAAAAAGAGGCCGAGTATGTGCAGTAAGAATGGCGTCAGCTGATGTCATTTTTCCAGGTATACTATCCAAAGCTCTGGTTTCTGTTAGGGAAGGACTGCTGAGTGCAACACGTCTTAAGTGTTTGACACTTTTATGAAAGATTAGGTCACCGTGTCCGGACTTGCTCGGTGTAGCCTTATGAATGTGCCATATTGTCAGCTCTGGTGGTTTATTTTATGCAAGTGGCCAAGAGAGTAGTCATTTCACTAAGTCACCTCCCTGTTGATTAACTGTTCTGGTCACATAGCAGGTATGCTGTTCTAGCACATCAGACCTCAATTTCTACCACACTATGTTATTGGCTTTTTCTTCTGTTTAAAAAGACGAACATCTCCACGCTCCAGAATCAACATACGGTACCTAAATCCTGGTGCGATGATTATGATAACTTGTCGTGCACCATCATCAAATCAAATTCCTCTTTCACCAATACTTTGGTCGATGAAAAGGAACCGTCACTGTCTGTATTTCCTGTGGAACGTGCTGTGGATTAATCCTTGATGTTGCCTCTAGTGCCACCATCTAAAACAACCACATACGCTTGTATATCTATCTCAGTGGAGCAACTCCTGGAAGTAGCGGCCCTCGTTTTCTCTTTCTTAGCTGCAGTTGGCGTGACACACGCTGTCTACCGGGGTACAGAACCGCCCCTTTTCAGCCTGAGGTGACGAGTGAAATCGTTATTTGAACTTGCATGATTTATTAATTCTGTTTGACAGTGCTGGAGGCAGTGGTGTATAAAGTACCCAAAAGCCATACTTGAGTAAAAGTAAAGATACCTTACTGGAAAATGACTCCAGTAAAAATAAAAGTCACCTACTACTTGAGTAAAAGTCTTAAAGTATCTGATATTTACTGTACTTAAGTATTGAAAGTAAAAGTACAAGTAAATGCTGTTAATAAAAAAGCAAAGGGTCAGCATTTTGAGAATTATGAAGTTTATTCTTTTAAGTGCTGTGGCCACCATGACCAAGTACATGGAGCTGTGTTGAACATAATTGGGTTGGCTGTGATCCATCCAGGAGCAACAATGTTCAACATAATATATTGTACATAAGTATACTTTTGCATCTACTATGAACTTATCATAATTCTCCGAAAAGCAATATGACACTATGAAGGAGTTGTAACAGTGCGTTTATAAGTATGCTCATTCCGACTAGAGGATGTAGAGGACAAATGCATAATATTGTGTTCAGCAAAAAATATCCACTTGATGCATCAGGTCACTGTTGTGAGAAAGGACACCTGCCTTGTAAACTCCTATGGGCCTGATTTGAACACAACAGGCAAAGGTTTTGCTCAAGCTGAATCTGCAATTGGGCGACTGCTACCATCATAACTCCATCTGATCATCCACAAAATGACTCAAATATCAAAACATGATCAATGCTAAAGCAACACCGAAAGTAACAACCCAGTCATTACTTGAACCTGAAAAACGTCCTGTTCATCTTCAAAAGAAGTTGGTTTTCAAAATTGCGAGAATTCCGTCTCGCTCTTCTTGGGCTGAAGACTAGTCCTGCGATGCTAACTAGCCTTTCACAGGCCGCTGAGGCAGGTAGAGGTGTGTTCAGCTTCACACACAGCTGGGAAGGATTTCCCTAATGCTGCGCTCGCGCGGCTCCTGTCAATCCTATGGTGTGGTGGCTAGCTAACGTTAAGTTAGCTAACGTTAGCCAACTAGTGCTGCAATGATTATAGCTAAGATGACTCAAATAAACAAAATCTCACAACTGTCAACACTTCCTCAGCTCACTAACTCGCTAGCGATCCACGGGTGTTGGTCTTCGTCACCACCGTAGTTTGTTGCGGGAGTAGCAGGTGCTTCCATTTCTGCTTCCGTCATGAAATCAGTCATCGTAGAGTGGAATTCTACTCATGTAGTCTCGCTAGCTATAGCATATAGCATCCTGGGCATCACTGGGAATCAAAACACCGCGGCTTTGAGAGCACTTGTTTGCAATTGCACATTAACGTGATTAACCAATGATTTAACTTGCAAGCTAGGACCACTGATTCACCAAACCTGCTTACTTGCAGTCTCTGTTCCACCACAGTCCCCGACGCTGGTCTCATGATTCATTTTGTTTCTAAAGATAAATTTGATTTTGTAGCGAGTAACGAAGGTTTCAGAGGAAATGTATCGGAGTCAAAGTATCAGTTTTCTTTGCAAAATGTAGTGAAGTAAAAGTCAACAGAAATATAAATAGTAAAGTAAAGTACAGATATCCAAAAAAACGACTTAAGTACAGCAACGAAGTATTTCTACTTCGTTACTATACACCACTGGCTGGAGGGCACAATGCATTTTCAGAGGGAAGCTGGTGAAGGGTGGTGAACATGTTGCTATTAGTCAAAGATGGATTTATTTGCAGATACATTTTATCACTTGGCACGGGTTATAGAGTAAGTGTTTGTGATTAGACTCATGTCTTTTAATCATGTGGCTGTATCACACTCTGGTCTATTGAAGCTTGCTTCAATGGATACATAATGCCAACAATCGCTTTCATTTTTCCTTTAGTTTGTAGCGACGGTTCTTGAGCGTGCTCCTCATTTATCTTGCTCGTCTGCCCTCAGGCTCCGTCTCTCACTCCATTCCCCGGCATCTCCTCTTCACCACCCCCCCCGTCTGCTCTGACAGAGATTCATGCATTAAAGCCTCAGCTACGCCTCTTGAATACCAACCCAACTCCAGCATTGTGAGAACAGTGTTGGGGGGTTCTGCATGGCGTTCCCCTGTGAGTAAGCAGCACTTTACTTTACGGGACAGACTGCTCCTCCACTGATGGGGCTCATTAACCATCCTCATGCCACTGCTCTTCAGCTAAGAGGCCGATATGGCATGACTCCCCCCCGGTCTCTGTGTTTTCTGCTGTCTTCCCCATCGGCCCTCATTGAAGCAGTCACGGTTCCACTGGAGAAAGAAGCAATCAATATCATCACAGCAGCCAGAGCTCTCCTTACCCTTGGTGTGTGTGTGTGTGTAATGCAGAGTTAGCCCCAGTGCCTCCAGTGAGCCGTACTGGTCATAAAGATGAATAACAGCTGACTTTGCTGCTATGGTAACCTCTCCAGAGTTCCTCCCGCCCTCTCCCCTTCACGTGTCTACATTGTGTTCTCTAGAGGGGCGGAGTCAGCGTGGACTGAGCGGACTAAATCTCCGTCAGTAAGCAGTGCAGTCCGCCTCCCGATTCAGAAAAAAATACGATATTTAAGACATGCAATACTAATAACTCACGAACAATACATTTGTACTGACTTCGGTTATGCTTGATTTACAGTATGCTTGACGCATTTCGCCAGTGTCACATCCAGTGTTTTCTGTCTATGTGGAGGTGGACGGGCAGCAGCCATGCTTAAACCATGCTGCTGATGTCATGTGATACACTGCTCCTTACACTTTGGGAGAATATCTGTTTTTTGTGAGGAGAAACTCTCATGGAGTAAAAGATCCAGACGTTTCCTCGTCACGGTTCCACGTCAGGTCTGTGCGACCATAAGCATAGTTGGGGCTTTCTACTGTTATGATTCAGGGACCTCCTAGACTGTGGGGAAACCGTATGTGATCCAGCCTCTGCTACAAAGACAGCCGGTTTCAATTATGAACAAAAGTATTTAATACTTCTGATGCTAATACAATTACACAGTGTAACACATTAATTACAGTATCTATAGATATATATTCTCTGCGCAGAGAGCATCTCACCCTCACCCCAGACTGGGAGCACAGCTGTTCCCACCTTGAGAGGAGAGCAAAGAGACTGATTCTCTGCCAACACTTTCTGATCACAATTGGAAATCCCCTCCTCTTGTCCATTTTAGTTCCTATTGGCTAACTCCAGCTGGCTCCTCCTCTCAGCCAGCTAGGACCCCCTGGCTCGGGTGATGCTCCGTCTGCGTCCGCTGAAATTGCCTGTCTATAAATCTGACTTTCCCTTGGCTATTCTTCACAGTTTAAAACATTCAATGACTGTCTTTTATGGCTTAACACTTCTATGATAAACATTCTATATAAAGATAAGGATTTGCAACTTTTGGCAAAAACTTCACAAGTTTCACAAACAGATATAAAGGTGCTACTAAGATACACTTCTAACTACAAATCACTTCTAACTACAAATTCTAAAACACTTCTACAATTATGAATCTTCTAATTATGTATTCCAAAACACTTCGAATTATGATTTCTTAATTATGAATCATTAAACACTTCTATTATGATTTCTTAAAACACTTCTAAACCCAAATTTCCTACACTACTCCCACGTTGATGTGTATAAGGCCATCTGCAGCACCACCGAGCGCATAGTAGTCCTGTGTATTTCATTTAAGTTGTTCCATTTTGTGTTTCGTGGTAACTGTATTATGTAAAGCATATTTTAATAATATAATCAAATGTAATGCTTTAAGGTTCAGTCTGTAGTGATATACGGCAACATTTCCATCCCGTCATGGTCTGCGTGATCCACATTAACATGTGTAGGGTTGCATGTAGAGGTCTAATCAGTCAGAGTAAGTGGGAACACCTGTGTGGGCGTACAGGCTCTGAAAGGTTAAGCACCAATGGTTATGTTTAAAGTATGACGATCAGTTCAAATAGGCTACGGTGATGTGCCTCTGGCTCCCTCAGACTCTCTGATGAGTGCTGTGGCCTCGGCTTCAGTTTCCTGCTGACTGAAATCCTTTCTTCTCTCCTCTTTCTGTGTTGCAGTGGAAAGAGAGCTGGTTCAGAAGAGGACCTTCACCCGATGGATGAACCTACATTTAGAAAAGGTTTGTTGACAGCTTCGTGAAACGGTGGCTGCAGAAAATACACCAAGAGGAACAACCTCAATCACGGTCTCCACACTCCGTAATTAGAGAGCTGCTCGCTGAGCTTTCATGCAGCCCCTGGGTGGGCATGGCAGGGTGTTTTATGGGCGAGGGTAGCAGACTGTATCGTGAAGCTGGGATCGCCCCGCTCACTGTATGAGTTTTACAATGTGGCTGTATATAAAATGACAGTTGCAGTCTCTCCGTCTCACTCTTATGAATTATGCATGTGGTTGTGTGGAACTGCCTGTGCGCAGCAATTCAAGTTTCATCAGGCTTTAAAGTGTTAATCTGAGACGGTGGAGACGTTACAGCTCTAGCTAGCTCAGGCTGGTCATTCTCCCCAAACCACCCAGCAGGCTGCTGTATGGGAACAATGGCTGGGTGGAGGAGGGGCCCCTCCTCTGCTGCCCGGAGCTTTGAGCCACATACAGGAGAAATGCTCCGAGGGACCCGAGGAGGATCCTGTCAATGAGAGGGACTAGAAACTAGATTGGTTGGTTGGGTGGAGGCCCAAATGGGGGACACAAGTATATACAAAGTGATTGATTAATTAGAAATAAACAAATTACAGAACCATCATAGAAACATTATTTTGTCAAATAAATAAATAATACATACATACATATTTATATGTATATATGTATATGTATATATTTTCTAACATTTATTGAAGAGCTTCATGAAAAATAAATTTTTACACCATTTTATTTATACAGCCCAAAACCACAAATCACAAAATATGCATCAGGGGACTTTACAATCTGTTCAGGACTACGATACTTTCTGTCCTTAGACCCTTGATTCATACAGAAAAAGCCTTTAATGGGGAAAGATTGGGAGAAACATCCCTTATGTGCATCTACCTCCACCTTAATGTCACACACACATACACACACACACACACACACACACACACACACTATATCAAATGCCTGCCACGGCAACCTCCACCAGAGCCTTATGTCACTGTGTTTACACTGACATGCCGGTCTTTGCTTTTGTCCCGTTCCCCCCCCCCCTCCAAAAAGGGGTGAGTCCGGGTGAGCCGAGAGTCTGAGAGCGTCTGATCAAATCTTTTGTTTTCTCTCACACAATGAGCCTCTTTGCTCTTACCCGTTGTTTGGCCCTGCATCAAATCTCTGACCCACTAATTAACAATCATACATTTGTCTTCTGTCGTCTTGGAAAGTTCCAGTCACTTCACTCCCCCCCCACACTATTCACCCGTTCACCGTGTTCAGACAAGTTCACAAATGCCTGAGTTAGTAATAAGTCGTTGTGATGACAGGGCTGAGTGTTGGCTCAGGCAGTGCACACGGTGGGTTACTGCTGCTGTCTTTAGAGTGAACATCTCTGCATGCCCTTATTGTTACCGTACAGATGAGTGCTGTTTGGAGAGCTGTTCAGTTCCATCCAATGTGTTGAATTAAAAGGAGTAATCGGCACCTTTTTATGTGGCTGTCCAGTCGGTGTTGATGGTAAATGTAGTCAATTGAATCAATAAATTCCTCAGCGCACGCAGCATTGACCCAGAGAAGTGATTCTGTCCAACATTGCTTCTATACGCCCCACTTTCATTGGTCCTGAGGAGCTGCAGCATTTATTTGTGCACAAACTGCACAATCTAGAGCACACCTGGTGGTTACCAAGAGAAATCCAAGCAGAAATAGTTCGTAGTTCTTCCTTGCTTCCAACTACGGCAGTCAAATCAAATGACTGCGCTGGATGCAGGTAGCACAACAGATTTTTGCATCTGTGAACTCCCCTTTCTGGGTCAAAGTAGCGTGCACTGAGGAATGCATTGGTGCATAGTGGACTACATTTACCATGAACACTGACATATTTTCCCTCTAAAGCTCCAGGGTGTGTTTGGGAGGACCGATGGCACACTGGATCTGAAATCTGACTGTGCCCTTTATGTTCTGAGATGGATGCATTTGTACTTTCTTCAGATTTGAGTCCATCTTGAATGCCTCTTGGTTGCATTTACAGGTTTTTTTTGGGGGGTGGGGGTGGATATCGAAATGTCCAAGACATATACAGTGTAATGGTGTCAAAAAATTGTGACGGTTCATGGTATCCAATTTATGAACTATTCTATATTCTATCAAGGGCTGCAACTACAGATTATGTTCATATTTAATCAATTTGCACAAATAAACAAACAAAGATATTCATATAACTGTCATGTATGATGAAGAAAAACATCCAATCCACACATTTAAAAAGCAAATATTACATTTTTGATGATCACAAGAGTTGCAGATATTTTCTTTTTTGAATCTACTATTTGATAAATCAACTAGTCATTCAGCTCTAACTCTCACCTCTCCTCTCTCTCTCTCTTTCACTTTTCTTTCTCTCCATTTTCAGTGTGACCCGCCCATTGAGGTCCATGACCTTTTCCGGGACATACAGGATGGGCACATCCTCATGGCCCTGCTGGGAGAACTCTCCGGCTGCAAGCTGGTCAGTGTGAGAACTGTACAGTGCCGCAGCTGTACTGGCATTAAGAGTTGTGTTGGTTGGCAGTTTTTATATTGTTCAATAATACTTTTCTCATTCCTAATGATCCTCCAGCTTCACGGGTTCAAGAGGTCCTCCCATCGTATTTTCAGACTCAACAACATCGCCAAGGTCCTGTCTTTCCTGGAGGAAAGAAACGTGAGTACCACAACAGGTAGCGTGAAGACATGTCCACCTACCGCTTGTTGATTGACACATGCGTACGTGTGTCCTCAGGTGAAGCTAGTCAGTATCGATGCAGCCGACGTCGCTGATGGAAACTCCTCTATTGTCTTGGGACTGATCTGGAACATCATCCTCTTCTTCCAGGTAAGCTCACTCTCCCTGCCAATTATTTTGATCTATCCTACTATCTAATGCCTCTTCATCCGCTCCCCTCTGTACTTTGAGTTCCCTCCTTTCCTTTCCCTTTTTTTCACTCAAAATGAGGTCAAGAGTAAGAATGAAGTGGCTGCTTCACAGCCTTTGGACTTTCCATTCACAAAAGCCTATCGAAGAGCAGTTCACTGGGTGGTTTATGTGAAACACACTGTGGTTCAATGCCTTGGACGGACACTATGAGGGAACAATTATCTCTGTAGTTCACACAGACTGTCCTCTAATTCTGGAAGCACTCAACTCTCTGTAGCTGTCTACACTGCCTGTTCTGAGCTGGGAGGAAAGGGAGTAATGTGCACAATACCCTGATCTTCTTTAGTAGTGATGGGCAAAGCAGTTCTTTTCAGTGTACCAAATCATTCAAATCAGTTCAAAAAAAAGATGAATCAAAAGGTTTGTTCAATGCTTGACTGGAGAACTGATGTGTAACATTACCACGGTGTCCAGTTAGGATGAACCTAGCTACTGTAAGCCTTGCCTTTATCAGTTAGCCCCAAGTCTCAAGTCTTTGAGTGAGAGTCCAAGTCAAGTCTCAAGTCTTTGAGTGAGAGTCTCAAGTCTTTGAGTGAGAGTCCTAGTCAAGTCTCAAGTCTTTGAGTGAGAGTCCTAGTCAAGACATAAGTCCTTGAGCTGGTGCCAAAGTCAAGTCTTAAGTCTTTGTGTTATTTCCAAGTCAAGTCTTGTCCTTGAGCTCGTGTCCATGTCAAGTCTCAAGTCGAGTCAGCTCGTCAGGCATTTTTATTAATGTTAATGCGACTAAAAGATAAAGATTTTCCAGAGTCTTGAATCTTAAGTCCGAGATTTCAATTTAGTTAAACCCTCGCCTACTTGTGAATGGCCACGTGACTTCTGTCTGCTGCAAATCATTTGGAGAAACGCTTTCTTGTGTTTTATCCACTTATCTGGCAAAATCTTTGTCTTAGCAAGCCAAGTTATTGCTTGTTAATGGTTAAAGTCTGGCATCTTAACACGTTGGAAGCATGATCACGGTTGACCCATGTCTACGCTGTGGTCTTATGTAGTCATGTGACTTCTTAAAAAACTCTGTTCAGGTTTCACGTAGAGGTACCTGTCTAACACTGTCGCTTAGCTGTTATGTTTTGCTGTGGAATAAATCAAGAAGAGTGGAGGGATGTTCTTTAGTGCTATGATATTGCATACAACAAAATTCTGGTAAGTGTGCTTTTAACATCTTAGGATGCCAGATTTGAAGCTGTTAGGGATCAACCTCTTGATGTGTGAAGATATAAATATCCTGCATGATAACACGTCCAAGACACTGACTACTTTTGGCCAACTGGTTTTCAATACAGTCTATTATGCAGGCTTTCAGTTCTGAATTTGTTTTCATAAAGTCTGACATCATCACGGTTACTTTCTCAGACTTTAGAAAGCTCCTTCAAAGACATTACGTGACTGTTTTCACAGACTAACCATGACAAGTAAACTGAATTCCATCTCCAAGGTCTATCAACAGATGCAGCACTGAACTGATCCTCTGAGTGTTTTGAGGGCTTTGATTCTCACGTATCTCTCGTCATCTGTTGAACTGATTACATCGTGTATCATTGTTTCTATGGTAACCATGGTGTAATAAATCCTGATATTGACGGGACTTTAACCTGTTTGTTGTCTTTTCCAAGAATCTTGAATCAGAACATATTCTATTTCATACCTGGGACAGTTTCTAACACTGTTTGGATTTTCTGGGCCAATCCCACTCTTCAGTAGGGAACTATGTATAAAGCACTCTGTCAGCATAAAGCACTTGGGTAAATAATCCAACTCACTGTCTCCTCCCAGATTAAGGAGCTTACTGGGAACATCAGGAGCCAGTTCCCCTCTTCCTCCAGCCTTTCGTCCATCCCCACCAGCTCTGACTCCGACACGTCCTACTGCAGCACGCCGTCAGATGAGAGACAGTCGGCATCCATGGCCATGCGAGAACACAGCAAGGCCATCAAAAAGCTGCTACAGTGGGTGCAGAAGCGAACACGCAAGTGAGTGTATTTCAATAAAGATTGTTGAATAAAGTCCTAGAAGTCTGAAAAAAACGAACAATTTCTTAGTGTTGTGTTGGCTTTTATTTCTGGTGAATATACGGTACATACCAATGGACAGCAAGCAAAACAGTAAGAAGGGACAAGCAATGTTTTGTTTGGCGGTCTTTCTGGACTGACCCTGTCCACTTGATATGTCCCGTCATAGGTATAGTGTGGCAGTGAAGGACTTTGGGAAGAGCTGGACAAGTGGTCTGGCCTTCTTGGCTGTCATTAAGTCCATTGACCCCAGCCTGGTGGACATGAGGAAGGCACTGCTGAGGACCGCCAAGGAGAATCTGGAGGACGGCTTCAGAATAGCCCACTACAGCCTGGGTATCCCACGCTTACTGGAGCCTGAGGGTAAAGAAAAAGACTATTTTACTAGGGTTGTGTATTAGCAAGAATCCATCCATCCATCCATCCATTTTCCTCCGCTTATCCGGGGTCGGGTCGCGGTGGCAACAGGCCAAGCAGGCTGACCAAGACCTCCCTCTCACCGGCAACATGTTCCAGCTCATTCTGGGGGATCCTGAGGTGTTCCCAGGCCAGCTGGGAGATGTAATCCCTCCAGCGTGTTCTGGGTCTTCCCCGGGGTCTCTTCCCAGCAAGACTCTTCTAATACAATACGTATCACGATACAAGGGGTCCGATTCAATATATCCCAAAACTGTAAGCAAGGCGATTTCTACATTTATTTTATTAATTTAGTGTGATTTCTTTTAAATAACATTTTTGTGAAAACTGGCACCAGGACACACCACCATATGCATGACATCTGAGTTAAAAAAAAGTTTACTTTTTATGCAATTACGTTACTTTTTTATGCAATCGGAACAGTGGGATCTACCATAGCATTCATTACAGTCCCTGTAACATCCAACACCATAGCACTACCTTCGGTGCAATCTGAGCCACTGTCTGTCACCAATCTTTGCATGTAAACTATTAATGAAAAATCAATACTATATATAATAATATAATATTCATGCCATGGTTTTAGTGTTGGTACTCTTAGCAAAAAAGTCCTCCAGTAACTCTTTCCTACTATTATTATGATATGGCTATTTAACAACTTTTTCTCTCTTTAAATTGACCTTTAGAAATCCGTTAAAATTGTCTTAGTGTTATTTGCTTACCACGTGTGAGCAATACTGCCACACTTACTGACTATACTATGTAGCCCCTTTCACACTATGTAACATTGCTAGCTTCATTGATCTAATTACGTTCTGCTCATTATGGATAGAACTGCAGAGCTTGTGCAGTGGCCGTCTCTGACCCGCAGTGTTGAATTCCCCGGCTGACCGCTGAGAAGTTTAGCCATATACATGGTTCTTTATGAAACTGACCGGGCATACCTAGACTGTTGGTAAATAATGGAAACCAGAAAGTTTTCCTTTTTGTACCAAGCAACAAATGTGTTTCCGATTTGACTGGTTCGCATGTGCACATCGCAATGTTGATGCTGAAATAATATATCCTGCAGCCCTTTTCAGACTGTTGTGTTATAAAGTGTGTGTCATAACTGTTGGGAGGAAGCTTAAATATCATGGGGGTCTTTATGTAAAATACCACTGTGATAATTGTAAATTGTTTATCTTCCCATGCTCAGATGTGACTATCAATGCACCAGATGAGCAATCCATCATGACGTATGTGTCACAGTTCCTGGAGCACTTCCCTGGCATAGAGGAAGTAAGAATCCTTTCTTATGGCCTTTACACACCGGGGGCTTTATTTTCCCTGTGATTGAATCTCAATATATTTTCTCAACTGGTGTTTTTGTCATGAATACGTTCTCACAGAATGCAAGTTTTTCCGCATTTCTTTGCTGTTTAATCATCACGCCCCGAATGTAAAGGCCTTTACAGAGCATGGAGGATATGTGTCAGTCAGATTTTGACAAAACAATAATCTCTGATGGTGAGCACAGAGACATTTCTGCCAACTTTTGTGTTTCTCTCTCAGCCGGAGGAGCCCGTCCAGCTGATCGAACGAAGTGTCTCCATGAGCCGACTGAACTTCCACGACAGTGACTCCAACCACATAAGGAATAGCATCCACCGAAGCAGAGTGAAGGAGAGGTCCTACATGTTCCAGAGGCTCTGTACCCAACCGCCACCCAAAATCTTAATTTCCTCTGTGTCAGAGGATCGGAGCGCCATGTCACCCACCTTTAGGCCGGCTGCAGCTCGCTCGTGGTCCAGTGAAGACATCTTAGCAGATCCCCCCCACATGGAAGACATCTCCAGCAGTGCGGTTGAAGACCCCAAAGGATCTGCTAGTGAGGTCCCTAACAACTCAACCTCTAACTCCCCACAATTGTCTTACACTCACTCGCCCACAGGCTCATCAATGCCTGACTCTGTAACCACTGAGTCAATAATTGGCGACTCGGCAATCAGCTCACCGGACTCCTGGGTGGAGAGCGAGTTTGGGGTGATGCCAGAGAAGTTTTGTGAAAGCCGAAGTGACAGTTCTTTGTGTGGCAGTGGAACAGCCTGGGATGTGTATCGTGCCACCCCTGTGGAGGTCACTACTGTTGATGAAGGATGTGTCCTATCCATGGAGGATAGAGCCCCTGATGAGCAGGCTATTACTGAGTCGTGTATCGATGAAGGAATTTACTCACTGAGCTCATTGGAGAGCACCCAGGAGAAAAGTCGAGGGCATTTTGAGAAAAAACAAACGGAAGTAGTGAAAGAGAAAGAGGTGAACCTTGAGAAGTACAACCAGGACATAGCGCTAGAACAGGTACCTGATCATAGCAAAGCTGAGATTACAGAAGATGTAGAGTCTAAACAGACCGATACAAGTCAGAGCAGAGAGCAAAAACCTTCTTTAGGACTGTGCAATGCAGAGGAACTGACCAACTCAGGGGGGGAAAATCTCTATGAAACTGATCAATCTAACCAATCGCAACTAAACAAAACCAGTGTTGAAGAGAGAACTGCGGTCTTCATTGGGGGTGCAAGGGACCTGAAAGAACAAATTGCTGGTCAAACTGAAAGTCAGAATGAGAGAGATAACTGTGAGGAGTTTGAAGTGGAAACTGGATGTCAGGAAAAAGACTCTTTGTCCGAGGTGACAAGAGGGGAGTCAAGAGAAGAGTCTGTGATTTTAAAGGAAAGGGGTGACGATGTTGAAGAAACACAAGATGAAGCAAGTGAAGGAGTTCTAAGAGACGACCTACATGCTCAAAAAAGCTTTAGCTCAGAGACACATCCAACCAACCAAGACAGAGCTTCAGAAACAAGTCTGGACCCAAGCCCTGGCATAAATGTCCCTCTGATCTCTGCTTCCAGTGAGCCAGAACAACAGGATGCAGAGGGAATATGTGACCCAGAAAGACAAGCTCATGCTGGGCACGATGATGTACATCAGCCAGAGGGAACTGACACAGATGTCAACTGCCCTCAAAATCGACATGAATTGAGCAGTGACTCCAATGACTATGTTGAGATTCCATCCTGTCTGGTATCAGAACATGATAAATCAACAGCTTCAGATCAAATAAATGACATAGAAAGCAGACATTTGGATGAACATGACACCAGCAGATCACTGAATTCAGACATAAGCGAGCCAGACACGAGAGGTAAAATGGCTATAAGTGAAGCCAAACAGGAATGTGAGAGTCCCCACCATGACTCTCAGACAGGTAAAACTGAGAAGGACTCGACTTCTCAGACTTCCTCTCCGGATGCGACATCTCAACCTGTGAATACTGAGCAGGAAATAGATTCAACTGATCAACAGGATGGACACAAGAGTTATACAGACATTGATCAAAGTCCTCACACAGAGGATGTAGTTGGTGACTCCATCGAACCCATGGATCTGTTCTACCCTGACAAAGAGGAGCCCATGTTTGTAGAGCCACCCGATACTGAAATGCAGAGTTGGCCTTCAGTTTTGAGTGTATCTGCTCTCCAGCCAGCTCCTGCTTCAGAGACTCAACCTGACCAACCCCTCAGCCTGCTGGGTGAAGACTTCAGGAATGGAGTGGATTCGATACAAGAGAATGACAAGGTAAATGTGTTTATTCAGTAGCGCCTCTGTACAATCAGACATTTCGGTTTTTAAATGAGCTTGTGCTTTTAAACAGTTGTTAGTATTTCTGTTTAGCTGCAGTGTAGTTCTGGGGATATCTAGGAATGGCAATGTTGGTAGGTCGTCTGGACAATCCACCACTTTGGTCCAGACTGAAATTTCTTGCCATAAAATTTTACACAAATGTTCCGTGACTTTTTTTTGCACCACCATAAAGTTGATATTTTTGATTTTGAGTGAATCTCCCAACAACTTTTGGATTGATTGACATGAAATGTGGTAGAGATGATCCTTCCTGATCCTCTGACATCTCATCTAGCACCACTATCAGGTCAAGATGTCAATTTGTCCAATACTTTGTTAAACTAATGACATTCCCATCAGTCTCAGCTATGGCCTACTTTTATTGAAATCTTATTTTTAGGGGTCTATACTCAGCTGGACTTTATGTTTACTGCTAATTATTTGCAATTTGACAATATTTTACACTGAAAAATCAGTCAAACTAAAGAAGAAATGAAAATTAGTATACAGCTGCTCGAAAAATTACAACACATATAGATTTTAATTTTTATCACAGTGCTATCCGATCGGTACTCGGTTTCGGCCGATACGCAAGTTCAGGTATTGGAATCCGTATCTGGAAGGAAAGATTGGTATCGGAACATCTCTACTAATTAGCACATGTTTGCATGAGAATGCACTAAACTAAGAGGGTGAGTATGGTAAACCATACCTGTTAAACATCAGAATATGGACTGACTATTACAAATTGAACATATACAAGTAGCTTATTTTCAAACCCTGAAAAGATTGATTAACATAAAAGAGAGAAAACCTGCACATCCTCACATTTAAAAACCTGGAACGAGTGAATGTTTTGCGATTTTACTTCAACACAAGTCTTAGTCTTCTGGGTAGCTTTGCTGTTTTTTTTTCCGTTCAGTGTAAACTAAGTGTTGTCTTAGAAAACACTGCCTTCCAGTCAGTCTGCCTGTCTGTGTATGTGTGTGTCTAATGTCCAACTGCCCAAACAGGCACATGAAGCAATGTGACATGTCACACTTCCACAATATCTCACCTAATGACCAGAAGACCTGCTGGCATTTATCGTGCAGTCATAGTCTGTTCCTCTGATGCTCTGTGAAAGCCTGTCACTGTGATGTACTCACGCTAATGTTCACTGTTATTTTGAATTATTTATTGGAAAAAACTACATATTCAGAGTTAAACCCACAGTGAATACTGCCTGAAAACATAACTACCAGCTATGAGCACTGGTGAGATATCATTGCAATTCACAGAAATAGGGAAATGATCTAAGTTTGAGCCATTCGTGTCCAACGTTTTCTGTGTTCCTCTTTTACTAGATTAATGTCCCTTCATTTTCAACAAATACAGGTTCAATCATTAAAGATGTCACACTGTGATAGATTGTGGTAAAAATTGAACTGGATGTGGATTTTGTTTGCAATGCAATTAAATGCAGAAATAATGAGCAATAATATTGAATTATCACCCAGTCTTAATTATGGGGTTTTGTCTATAAGTGGAAGAGTAGCTGAACATGTGCCTCAGATTAAATGGAGCTACTCAGTAATACATCAACATTTGCAGTTTACAAGACTTGCTTTTTAATTTAAATTTTTAATTGTTTTACTCTAAAACAAGTTCTCAGAACGTTTCAAACTACGTTTGTTGTGCGATGTGTCGTCCGTCCAAAAGACTTTACAGGCTAAGAATTGAATTAATTAGCAGAATATGATTGTCAGGGTTTAATCCTCAAACACAATGTTTGAAGCATTGAGGTCGACATAGTTCAAAGCCCTCCAAGCAGCCACTAGAGTAAAACATGTTTCATTACACCTGACCTTTATATATAGAAGCGTTAGACATTAAGATAATACACTGCGGATTTAGCTCTTCTTAGAGCATTATCTGTAGTAGGACCACAAATGTCACGTTTCTCCAAAGGATGATGCCTGAGGAAATTTGACACGGTCATTATATGAACAAGGGCTCATCATCTGGGAAGCATGAATGCTTATAGTCAAATTCTATGGTAATCTATTGCACTGCAGTGCAGTTTTTGGCTATGTCTAGGTTGCAGATGTTTTGGTCTGAGGGTGGTACTACAGAAGAGCTCACAGAGTTCCCAACATGCAATGGGTTTGTCCACTACGTGTGAATGAGCTCAGTAGCTTTCATGGCAATCTGCCCATTAAAGAGAAGTTTTTCTTTTTAAACGCTTTGACGTTTTGACCTGAAGGTGGTGCCAGAGAAGACATTAGCATTCATCCTGTGGGGACCATGGATATCCACATTCAATTTCATCAACATTGTTTACATGCAGACCAATATTTCACTATTATTCTGAATATGAAAATATTCAGAATTTGATACGGGTAATGTAAACAGCATCTTCCATGTCGATCCTTCGATTTCGACCTTATTTCGAATAGAGCTTTTCCCGACCAGGATGTTGGATATGCCGATATTATTTGGGTTTTAGGAGCATTCTTTGGACGTGTATACTGCGCATTGGGAATATGTGTCTCAATTGGGGTTTTGCGGCAGTTTGCAGCACATGGCCACACAGCCTCTTGCCTGTTTACGGCCAGCCCTGTTACACAAACAAACTAGCTAACGCTTTGCAAAGATGCATGCACAACAGAAAAGCCCACATTTCGGGTTGGAAGGAGAAACACCTACGACCTTTTCACAAAGGTGGTTGAAGGAATGAGAGAGCAGGGAGGCTTTGGTTGCACGCTCGAACAAGACCACCACCAGTTATGTTAATCAGAATATACACGGCTGCTTGTCAACATGAATGTTAGTGGAATATTCATCTCCATCAGCCATGTATACAGCTTAGCAGGAATATAGTGTTTTTTTGGAATAAGGAATATTTTGTGCATGTATACGTACTAATTGTTGTTGACTTCTGGCAATTTGACCAGTAGTTGTTCAAATGTCTTTCCCCCCCTGTGCGTTACTAAGCTGCTGAAAGCTGTGCCTCTCATCGTGTCTTGCTCTTATTAGGTGATCACAAAGACCAACCAGGAGACTCACAGAGCATCTCAATCCCAGGATCTCTGTTTGTTGCCCGGGGAGAAGACAGGAGGACTCTGGGGTGATGATGCTCCAGCAGACGGCAATGATCTCAGTGAGGCCGAGCAGCAGAGCTCAGGCTCTGCCAGGGAAAACACAGAGCCTGTGAGGTAGGCTTTCTATTCTTAGTCAGCTCCCTGCTACACTGAGAAACACAGTGGACCCTGGGGGAACCAGTGTTATGCAATGGATGAGGCTGGTCTGACCTGCTCACTCTCACTTTGCTCAGATATTTCCTTAAATGTACTGAACAAAGTAATCTACGTGGGCTGGTGATGGGAATGAAGAAAGGCCTCATGAGGGTTAAGAGACTGTGGACTGAAGCAAGGGGAATACATTAATGTGGTTTAATTCATCAATACAAGAGAGTGTAATTCTGTTCATATTCAGCAGTGGAAGTAAAGTTATGATCCTTCCCACTTTCAGATCAAACCCCATTTCTGTAATTGCCTCTATATCAGTTTTCATTATACACAAAGACACAAAGACACGCTAAGCAACTACAAAGACACGCTAAGCAACTACAAAGGGCCAATGAAACCACAGACAAAAAAATAACGACAAAAAGACCAAAATAACTACAAAGACACACAAAATGCTCACAGAGACTCAAAACCACAGAGAGATGCGTAACTACAAGGAGACACAAAACAACAACAAAAAGAGGCTAAACAACTATAAAGTCTGCACCATGTAGGAGTGAGTGGTGGTGGGGCCTTCTGCATGTCTGTGCCTTGAAGCCCATCGTGTTTCAAAAGCCTCCACATTGCTTTGCTGCTTTTAGTTTGCTCCACTAGTTCTTTTCATTCATCTTTGCTTTGACTTGTCTTCTGCCACCAATTTATTGTAATTACATTAAAAGCAATTAGTCAGTATTCTAAGGAAAATTGTGTTCTTTTCAGGTTCCTATGGCCAAAACAAAATAGTTAAGTAGGGTTTTAGTTTTGGTTTCATACTTTTAATATTTGAAAAAAGTCCAAAAGATGTCTTAATAGCTGTTACCACTGTATTTCCTGGGCCTGCTCTCTCTCTCTTGTGGAGACTAAACTGATGTATTTGGTCTTTTCAGGAGTGACAGTAAAAGTTCCAGCAGACAGGATGAAAGCCAGATCCCTCCAGTTCTCCGTCACAGAAAGGGGGCTCGCTTCACCGAGTCCACGGTTGGTTTGACACTCCATTTGCGTTTGGATTGATGTTCTCTGTGATTGTGAGTACTGAGAGTGTTTCCCTTGTATTTCTTTTACGACTCACAGGACAATCAGACAGCTGTCACTGCAGCGACCAGAAGAGCTGACAACGGTGACTCTGATTCTTGGTAAGAACTTTGCCCTCCCTGTTCGACTTTTCTATACTACATCAGTCTTTCACAACAAAATGCTTTTACTGGTCGTAAGCTTCAGCAACCAAAGTGGTGGACTAGTAGTCATCAAACGCCACATGAATGGTCTTGGCAGTCGATATGTATGACCTTGAATACATGGTCTAGCATGTAAATGAAACAGCATTTAATCATCACACAGTTGGAGTAGCCCTTCGATCATTATGTTTTGGTATGTTGTTCCCCATCTTCTGTGCCATCGCTTTACAGACCTAACAACAGTGCTGCTGCCATTTCCCCAGTTCTTTTGAAGTTAGGACAGGCTCTATAAGCCATCCTGATTGAGGATTCTTTACCTACATTAGCACATTTCTGTAGTAGCTGAACTTTTATCCTATAAGATAAGATTTCTTTCTTTCTAAACGCAGTTAGGAAAGATCCTAAATGCCATCCTAAACTGAGATAAGAAAGGATTTCAGACTTCGGATGTTTCTGTAATGGTCTCTATCAGAACAGTAAATGTAATCTAAATATTTGACTTTTATTGTAACGGACATTAGAATGGATTTCTGTCCCCCATGACTAATAATGACTCAAACCTGGTTGCTGCAGTGCTGCTTGCTACCATGATCTATGGAGTTATTTTCACCAATCCCCTGTGTGTGTAGGTGCAGTGAGAGCTGGGAGCTCTACGTGCTGCTGCTGCTCTGGCTGCTGCTCTACTGCTTCTGGCTGCTGCCACAGATGGACCTGAAGACACTGCCCAGCCTGCTGCTGAACCTCGATCCCTGAACACACACTCACTCACAAATACACACACACACACACACACACACACACACACACACACGCACAGGGGCGAAAAATAGAATTTTGTCAATTACATAAAAATGTAATGCACCACCACCAAAACCAACACACACACATACAGCTCAACTGCCACTCCTCTTTCCTCTCCATCACACTGACTGTACTCCAGACCAAGTGAAGGCATTTAAGATGTGTATTTCAAACTATAGAGCTTCGTTTTAGCTTTTTGCTTTTTAGCTTTCGATGTGGTTTGAAGTGATCTGTATTACAATGTATTCGGGCCACTGCTAGGGAAATATGAAGAGATTTTGAGGAATAACTCATATTTTTTGAATAAAATTGTAATTTTACAAGATAAAAAGTCATAATATATCGAGAATAAAGTTGTACGATTTGGAGAGTTAAGTTGTAAACTTACAGATAAAAGTCGCATTAAAAGAAAAACTACAAATCAGGCTGTAATTTCATGAGGAAAGTATTTTGAGATACGTTAGTGTTATTAAAATAAATGTACAATTATTTTTGTGTATTTTTTATTCATTTGAATACAAACAAATATTATGAACTTAGTTATAAGATATCCAAAGACCGTAATAAATAACCAGAACCAACAAGACGTCTTTTTCTTGTGACTTTACTCTCCAAGGATTGACTTTTTAGTCACAAAGTTATGACTTTATGTAACATTATAACTTCTTCTCCAAATTACAACTCCCTTCTCATAACATTGTCGTGTTTCTCAAAATGTTGCAGTTTAACTGTGGCCTCCATATTGTGTTTAAAGACACTATAGTTAGTGGTTTATTGCTGTGCAAAGCCGACAGAGCGCACATTGTAAGACAACATGACTGTACAGCACTCTGACTTGTAGATCGAGATATAGACTATGGATTTATGGATGCACCGTTTGCATGAATAGCCATTTAAGACAATGAAATAAAAGTCAAAAATAAAAGTACTTTAAGCTGAGAATATGAAGTGGAGATAGTAGAGCTGAGGCGGGAAAGAGAATAAGAATACAGTTGTGTGAAAAAGTGTTTGCCCCCTTCCTGATTTCTTATTTTTTTGCATGTTTGTCACACTTAAATGTATCAGATCATCAAACAAATTTAAATATTAGACAAAGATAACACAAGTAAACACAAAATGCAGTTTTTAAATGACGGTTTTTATTATTAAGGGGGAAAAAAAAATCCAAACCTACATGGCCCTGTGTGAAAAAGTGATTGCCCCCCCCCTGTTAAAACATAAATTAACTGTGGTTTATCACATCTTTGGAAAGCTGAGTTCAATTTCTCTAGCCACACCCAGGCCTGATTACTGCCACACCTGTTCTCAAT